CCTATGAATACAGAATCAATACCTTCAGTGCTAAGTTTCAAGAAGTTCAGTGAATAGAATAGAAACAATATTTTTCTGATTGTTTGGAGCGGAATAGATCTGCACAAGAAGAAAGTGAAACTAAGTGTGAGGAGGAAGGGGCTGACAGTCTAAGTTTCTTAAAATATATATATTTTGTTTAGCCAAATTAGTTAACAAACATGGATGTGTGTTTAAGCAAATAACATATGCTGGAATGTTATTGTTTTCAGTTGAATAAATCTATTTAAATTGTTATTATTAAGGTAATGATTATTTTTCTCCTTCCTAAGTACAACAGAAAAGTTGTCCAAATATGAATGATTAACCTATTAAACTGGGGATAAAAAAACTAATATGAAAAGTTGTTATTCTAAAAATCTTCATCTACTTCCATATTAAAGTTATACCAGCAAGAATTAGTCTATGTAGAAAACTAGGATTTAAATCAAGCCTTACTGACTAGTGATTTAAATCAAATCCACCCTGATTTGTTCCCTACAGCACCCTTTTTTTTGTGCTTCCTTGCAGACCTGTGTTACGTGCCACTTTGGTCTTTGTTCCATGGGATTTGACATACTTCCATTCCTTTGGAGAAATTAATATCTCAAATTTTCCACTCTTTCCTTGAGTTGTTACCAAGTGAAACTCTATTTGTTCCATACATTGGCCTGCTCAAGACACCTCCCATTGGGGGGGATGTTCTGGTGCCCCTCTGCCAGTCCTTGTCTGGTGACTTACATCTGACCACTCTTGCCCTCTTGGATGATGCACCCCACCGGGGCATGGTGTCCAGCCTCTCATCTTGGAAGTCATCCTTTCTTTTGCTCTGACATATGCTTTTAAAGTCCTTTGTCTCTCATGCCCCCTGAGGAAGATCTAGCATGTGGAATGACCGAAACGCATCATATTTTGTGTGTCTTTTCTGTGTGTTTTCATATTTTTGTATTAAGAGTTTTCTTGTAACAATACTGTCAGAGCAGTATTTGTTTTTAGAAATCATGTATTTAACATTACAATGGAAATGTATATGTAATAAAGTTGATAAAAAAATATTTTTTAACCAAATGTCTTTTCCAATATATGTATGATCCTATTGCTGCATAAAAGTCCCACTGGGGGTTCTTTGGGTGAATGCATGCATATAGGAATGAGCAGCCAGATACTCCACCCTTTTGGTTAATGGGGTTTATTTACTAAAGCTGGAGTGTGCAAAATCAGGCTCATTTCTGCACAGAAAACAATCCGCTTTAAACTTCAGCTTGTTAAGCTTTAGCCATAAAACCTGCAAGCTGATTGGTTTCTATGCAGAAGTCAGCCTGATTTACACTCTCCAGCTTTAGTAAATAAACCCCTGTGTATTGTAAACAATTGACATACTTTAAAACATAGCTCTGTTTTCCTTCATTTGTTGTAACTCAGTGCTGCTGATTTCCTACCAGGGTGGATTTGATTTAAATCACTAGTCAGTAAGGCTTGATTTAAATCCTAGTTTTCTACATAAAGACTAATTCTTGCTGGTATAACTTTAATATGCAAGTAGATGAAGATTTTTAGAATAACAACTTTTCATATTAGTTTTTTTATCCCCAGTTTAATATATTTGGACAACTTTTCTGTTGTATTTAGGAAGGAGAAAAATAATCATTACCTTAATAATAACAATTTAAATAGATTTATTCAGCTGAAACAATAACATTACAGCATATATTATTTGCTTAAACATCCATGTTTGTTAACTAATTTGGCTAAACAAAAAAAAAATATATATTTTAACCATTAGCCACCCGGCCAATGGCCGTTTGGCGGCTTCAGAAGTGTCTCTTCATTCCGGGTGCACGCCATTTGGCGTGCTCCCGCACATGCGCCGTTTGCGCTAATGCAGAGCGGCGCAGCAGTGCAATCTGTCACCGGCCGTGCACCTCGGACACGGCCGATGACAGATCCGAGTAGCGGCTCCCGTTGCTGGTACCATGTGACCTGCTGTGACCAATCACAGCAGGTCACATGACAGTTGTATACAATGGATGGCTTCATTCATGATGCCATCCATTGTATACTAGTGCCTAGCTGTGAATGGTCACAGCTAATCACATGCACATGTCATGTGATTAGCTGTGACCAAATCACAGCTAAGCACAAAAAAAAAAAAAAAAGAAGAAGCTGAATGAATCGATTTCATTCAGGTAAATGCTTGCTGATAGCAAAGTAATTCTTTGCTATAAGCAAATTGTGTAAAAAAAAAAAAAAAAAAAAAAAAAAAAATACTGATCACTTCCCCAAAGTAGTACAATGTTACTATGGTAACATTGTACTACTTTGGTCATAGTAAAATATGAAAAAAAAAATCTTAAAAAAAAAAAAATGTAATAAAAAATTAAATATAATAAAAAAATTTAAAAAATTAAAAAAAAAAAAATATATATTTTTTTTCATACTGTCACCAGTCAGTGTCCCTGTTCACCGCCATGCCAGTTATATGATGATGCTGTACTGCACTGGTGACAGTATGTAAAAAAAAAAAAAAAAATAGTGAAAATAATTTTTTTTAATTTTTTCATTTTCCGAAAAATTATGACAAAAAAATAGAACTTCAAAAAACTCGCCATGCCTCTTATGAAGTACGTCGGACTGTCTACTCTGCAAAAAGGGGTCATTTGAGGGATATCTGTACTATTCTGACATTCTTGGACCTCAAGAAATTAGATTGGCTGTCAGTACTTCAGGATTGATCAATATTCAGATCTATACCATAGTTTGTGAACTCTATAACTTTCCTACAAACTAAAAAATACATCCTAATTTGGGTTATTTTCACCAAAAACATGTAGCAGAATACATCTCGGCCTAAATTTATGAAGAACAATTATTTATTTGTAAACTTTTATAACAGAAACAAAGAAAAATGTGTTTTTTTTTTTCAACATTTTTGGTCTTTTTTTGTTAATTTAGCAAAAAATAAAAACCCCAGCGGTGATTAAATACCACCAAAAGAAAGCTCTAGTTGTGTGAAGAAAATGATAAAATTTTAGTTTGGGTACAATGTTGTATGACCGCGCAATTGTCATTCAAAGTGTGAGAACGCTGAAACCTGAAAAATGGCCTGGGCAGGAAGGTGTAAAATTGCACGGTATTGAAACGGTTAAGAAACTTAGACTGTCAGCCCCTTCCTCCTCACACTAATGCAGGCCATAGATGGGTCGAAAATCGGCCGATTTTTCGGACGAAAATAAAATCGGCCGATTTTCGGATCGTTAGTGGGCGATTTGGTCGGCCGTTTTTCGTTATTTTGGCCGTTTTTTTTTTTTCGGTAAAGTTGGAAAAAAAAAATCGGCCGATTTTGCCGATCGGCCGATTTTCGCGGCAATTAGTGGGCAAATCGGCCGATTTTTTTACCGATAAAAAATCTGCGCATGAGCAGTGACCTGCAAGAGGAAGACAAAAAGAAAAAGAAGAAGAGGATGAAGAGGATGAAGAGGAAGAGGATGAAGAGGAAGAGGATGAAGAGGAAGAGGATGAAGAGGAAGAGGATGAAAGAAGAAGAGGATGAGAGATGAAGAAGAGGATGAGGATGAAGAAGAAGAAGAAGTAGGATGAAGAAGAAGAAGAAGTAGGATGAAGAAGAAGAAGTAGGATGAAAATAAGAGGAATTCCAGTCCAGCAAAAAGTGTCTCTGCAGAGAGCTCAGCTATTTCTTTGACAGTTCTCTGACAGTTCCTTGACATTTACAGCGGTTGCAACATTGTATCTATTTGTTTCCGAATAAAAACATCTGTATCCTAAATGGAAACAAATAGATACATTGTTGCAACCTCTATAAATGTCAAGGAACTGTCAAAGAAATAGCAGAGCTCTCTGCAGGGACACTTTTTGCCGGCTCTAGACGGGATGAAAATCGGCCGTTTTTTTTTTTTTTTTTTTTACCATTGATGGTAACGTCGGCCACTTGAACGACCGATTTTTCGTTTTTTAAAAGAAAAATCTGCCGTTTTTCTCCCCATCTATGGCCTGCATTAGTTTCAAAAATATTGTTTCTATTCTATTTACTGAACTTCTTGAAACTTAGCACTGAAGGGGTTGATTCTGTATTCATAGGTTTGTAGAAGTTAGGATTAAGGTCTTTTGAGAACTGCAAAAGTAAACCAAGCATCTGTGATAATATCTTGTAGGCAGAGAAACTGCCCAATAATCTTACAAAAACCTCTGGAAGAGCATGACATTGTGAATGGATTAATGGAATTAGTTACCAAAAAAATTAAACATATACAGCCTTATTCTACATAATTAAAAAACTAATCTTTATTTCATGATGGAATAACCTTTGGATGGTAATATATTTTCCTCAAAAAGCATTTTATTAAAAACAATCCGATTTAAATAAAAAAAAATCCGATTTTTTTTTTTTTTTTTTTTTTTTTTTTTTTTTTTTTTTTTTTTTTTTTTTAATCCACCCTGTCTCCTACAGTCTGTTTTCTGAGATTTCCTGCCTACATGCACATTAGCGATGGCTGTATGGCATTTCTCAGGGCAACAGCAGTAGACCATGCCTGCATAATGTGTGCAGAAATAGTAGTCTCCTCCAGAAGCTCATGTGACAACACAGGAGCACACTTGGGAGACTGGGAGTGTCATTTCAACAGTAACAGGAAGTGCATGAACAAGACCTTCATGATTGCAAGGTATTATTTAATGAAAGTGAACCTGTGACTTAACCTGCACTTTTTCCTGTTCAGGACCGAGTTAAACTCATAGCTTGCCATCTTCCTGATACCTTCAATCCACCATCACCCTATTCATCCACAGGCTCTCTGTTAGGTACCTTGTACTTCAGGTGTAGGGAAGTGATCCTCCCATGATGCAGCCTCAATATTTCTATCAGCACAGGTTTCGTTGCATTTTATTGGCATATTATATGTGTGTGTTTTGTGGGAGATAAAATGTTAGAATAGTAATAGAATTTGATTTTTTTTTTTGTGTTTCAGAGCACAAAGTGATTATCGTGGGACTGGATAATGCTGGAAAAACAACAATATTATATCAGTTGTAAGTATGTGTTTAACTGAACAACAGAAGGCACGTTACTGTTTCCAGAATTCAAGAGATCCTTTTTTTTGCATGTTAGTTTGCAAAGTGACTGAACAGGTCTCAGGCCCAGGCAATGTGCCTATACAAATATCTGGCTGTCTTTCAGCAGCCCTTTTTTTTTTCTTAGGAAAGTGTTGAACATACTTTAACAGCTCTTGTCTCCACCTAAAAAAAAATTGTCCAAAGCAATGTCTAGTAAATGGAATTGGAATTATACATTCCTCTCTGGCAGCCTGTGACCAATGAAGAGCTGCAGCCTTCAACAGTCTCTTTAGGATTCAACACATTTGGAAGCGTTGGATGATTTTTTTCCCTCCTTGTATTCTGTGGTTCTGGATGCTGTTTCACTAAGGGACACAGTAGGGGGCAGACAATATAACCACAGAACACATCGGGTCACAGGCTTCTGACATTCCCAGAAGTGTTGCATGCTGAAGACCAATAAAGGCTGCAGGTCTTGAATGGAGAGCAGTTAGGAAAATGAGCCACATGAAAGGTATGGAGGTATTGGGTGGTGTGGTATTACAGGAGGGGCTGAACAGGATTTCTAATCTTTTGGTAGATAAAGTATTATATATATATATATATATATATATATATATATATATATATATATTTCAAATGAATGGCCTTCTTTAGATTGATTTGACCATTGATGTAGGGGGTTTCTTTATATTTTTTCCCCCTAAATTAAAGCCCAAGTGCAGACAAAAAACACAAAAATTGGCACAAGGGACATAACTTAGGATGTGTCCGTTGGGCTGATACCTCTTCTTTTAGTTGAAATCCTCCTGTTTCATGGTGTACATGATTAAGTACACCACACAGTAGGAAGCCATTTTCAACCACTTAGCACTACTGTTTTGTGGTTAATCACAAAGAATTTTTAAAGCGTGATACTTACTAGCATTGCATTGTTGTCTGTCTTCTAGTTCCATGAACGAGGTGGTGCACACGTCCCCAACAATAGGGAGCAATGTGGAAGAAATTGTTGTGAACAACACTCGCTTTTTGATGTGGGATATCGGAGGACAGGAATCTCTCCGATCTTCATGGAACACCTATTACACAAACACTGAGGCAAGACATTTTTCTGATTTTATTGGTATCTCACTGTAAAGAACATGCTGGTATGATGTCTGTATATGTATATCCTGTCTCTCTGGTTGACCTGAAATGTAAAATCTTGTCAAAGCAGGACTCGAGGCTCAAACCTGTTTTGTTATAAACAGAGAAGTACATAATAGTACATTATTTTTTAAGAAAGTGCCACCTCAGTGCTGCCTATCAGTGCAGCCTCATCAATGCACATCAGGGAAGGAGAAAAATTACCTGTTTGTAAAATTTTATAATGGAAACAAAGACATTTTTTTTTCAAAATTTTCGGTCTTTTTTGTTTAGCAAAAAAAAAATAAAACACCTAGTTGTGATTGAATACCACCAAAAGAAAACTCTTTTTGTGTTCTAAAAAAAATGATAAAAATTTCATATAGGTACAGTGTTGCATGACTGCGCAATTGTCATTCAAAGTGCAACAGCGCTGAAAGCTGAAAATTGGCTTGGGCAGGAAGGTGGTGAAAGTGCTCGGTAGGCAAGTAGTTGAAGAGGAAAAAAAAAAGTGTATGCATACATATCCACAGAACCAGAATGCAATGTAAAGGCTAAGACAGGTGAAACAGAGCTGCTTTCTCATAAATCACACATTGGCTTTTTACATGAATGTACCACACAAACTTTAAATGCCTCCCGCCCGCCACATAGTAATATGACGGACACAAGGTGGTTCTTTCGTTCTGGGAGGATGTTATATGACGTCCTTCCATTCTCACCGCACGTGCGTGGCTCCAGGAGCGTGCAGCGATCGGCGGTGCGCTGTGTCCCTGAACCAGCTGCATAATAAAGCCTTTTTGGTTCATTTTTCTTTCCTGCATTTTACAAATCTTGTGGCTATAAAAAGGTTTTCAAAAGACTCATTATGCCTTTCAGAAAATACTTAAAATATGGTAGTAATTGATGCTCCTAGAAAGCTCAAAGATGCTCCTTGAATTTTGAGCCTTTCTATTGGGTTGATTTACTAAAACTAGAGAGTGCAAAATCTGGTGCAACTCTTCCTAGAAACCAGTCAGCTTCCAGTTTTTTTTTTTTTTTTTTTTCAAAGCTTAATTACAACTTTAACCACCTTCCGCCCGCCATATAGTCCAATGACTGGCGCAAAGTGGTTCTCTTGTCATATGACGTCCTCTCATTCTCACCGCGCATGCAGTGAGAATCACCGGACACAGCGGATCACCGATCACGGAAAGAGCCGAAGATGTCGGCTCGGTCATGTGATCGGCTGTGTCCAATCACAGCTGATCACATGTAAACACGGAAATGCCGGTTACACTGTTCAACAGGTAAAAAGTTTTGGGCATAAAATTAGCTAATCTTACATAATTTTGGGGTGCTGAAAACGAAAATGACCCTAAAAAATGTTGATTGGCTCTAGTTTCCATGATATATTCACCCATCTAATGACGTAAGCCATTCAAAATTATGATGCAACTTCAGCTGCATATTGCGCAATTGATACTGGTGACCAATAGAAAATTGCATGTATACTGAGATGATGCAATATTAGCCTTTAATTGCATCACTTCACTGCATAAAAGCTGCAGTATCTGTAGCTGATTGTAGTTCGACAGCGTCTTTACATTTCGTTTTATGCTTATATAGGCTACTCAGTAATGCCTCGAACTTGTGTGAATAAAGCAGATAATTTCTGCTATATCTGCGGTGAAATAACTTTTATCTCACAAAAAAGGAGGATAACAGGAATGATTAAGAAAGCCTACAACTTGTATTTTGGCTGCAAGATAGGAGACCAGGACAAGAGCTGGGCACCACATATATGCTGCAATTCTTGTGGGATGGCACTGGAGCAATGGTTGAATGGAAAAAAGGCATCTATGCCTTTCACTGTGCCAATGATTTGGAGAGAGCCAACAGATCATGTTCGTAATTGTTACTTTTGTATGATGCCTCCAACAAAAGGGCTAAATAAGATGAAAAAGTTATCTGTGCACTATCCAAATATTCCATCGGCAATACATCCATTTCCTCATGGAGAGGGGCTACCACTTCCTAAAGCACCAGAATCCTTCGTGGTTGAGTCAAGTGAGGAAGAACCTGAAGCGTGTAGTCATCAACCGTCAACCTCACATGACCCAGACTTTCTTCCATCCACACCCACTGAACCACACCTCATTACACAAGTGGAATTGAGCGATCTTATCAGAGACCTGGATCTTCCGAAGAACAAGGCAGAGCTTTTGGGGTCAAGACTACAACAGTGGAATCTCCTAGCAAGTGATGTTCGTACGTCTTTCTACCGTCATAGTCAGAAAGATCTGATCCCATTCTTCGTCCAGGAAGGTGATATTGCTGTATGTAACAAAGTTCATGGTTTAATCTCAGCCATCGGCGTATGCTATGATCCCGATGAGTGGAGGCTGTTCATTGATGCTTCAAAGGCGAGTCTTAAAGCTGTTTTGCTCCATAATGGCAATCGGCTGCCGTCAGTTCCAGTTGCTTACGCAGTTTCAATGAAAGAAACGTATGAAAACTTGAAAGAGCTTTTAAGGTGCATCAACTATGATGAACATCAATGGTCGATTTGTGGTGACCTGAAGGTGATTGCTATCCTACTTGGACTTCAAGGTGGATATACTAAGTACTGCTGCTTCCTCTGTGAGTGGGACAGTCGTGCGAGAGAAATGCACTATGCCAAAAGAGACTGGCCATTACGCCAGTCATTGCAGCCTGGAGAAAAAAATGTTAACTATCCAGCACTTGTAGACAGCAATAAGATCTTATTACCTCCATTACACATCAAGTTGGGATTAATGAAAAACTTTGTTAAGGCAATGGACAAGAATAAAGCAGGTTTCAAGTACCTGATTAGCAAATTCCCAGCACTTAGTGCTGCAAAAATAAATGAAGGAGTCTTTGTTGGGCCACAGATTCGTAAACTTATTCATGATGATGAGTTTCTTTCTCTGTTGCTTGGAAAGGAAAAAAGGCTGCCTGGACAGCATTTGTATCAGTGACATCAAATTTTCTTGGAAACAATAAAACACCAGACTACAAGAAAGTGGTAGAAAAAACTCATCCAGACTTACAGAAATCTGGGTTGCAACATGTCTCTAAAAATTCATTTTCTACATTCGCATCTGGATTTTTTCCCACCAAACTGTGGAGCAGTGAGTGATGAACACGGAGAGCGCTTCCATCAAGACATTGCAGCTATGGAAAGAAGATATCAAGGTAAATGGAGCCCATCAATGCTTGCTGACTATTGCTGGACAGTTGTAAGAGATAGCCCTTTCCTCGAATACAAGAGAAAAGCCAAGAGAAAGCAAAACCGACACAAACTGAAGACAAAACTAGTGAGAATCCTAAGTATTAAAAATGATTCAACTTAGCTTATGGCTATAATTGTTCTTGGTAATCCTATGCAATATATTATGCCATTTAGGCTTTGTTATGTAGTCAATATCACTTGCTTTATATTTGTGGAAAGACATCTATCTATATAATTATTGTGCATTCTGTAGTCATTACGCTACAGTAGAAAACTTTCTGTTTACAGAAAAACTAGAGCCAATTGACAAATTTCATTCTTATATTTGAACTCAGAATGTGAAATTTCATTAAGAAATGGATCCTTTTGTTTCCAAAACTGGCAAAAAATAAAAATTTTGTTGAACAGTGTTATCGGCATTTCTCTCCTTTCAAGCTGTCACGCTGACAGCTCAAGAGGAGAGGAGAGCTGGTAATCGGCTTTCCGTGGAGGGGACATGTACACTGATCATCAGGGCACTGATGATCAGTGTAGCCCCAGCAGTGCCACCTGTCAAAGTCCATCAGTGCCAGCTGTCAGTGCCGATCAGTGCATAGCAGTGCACATCAGTGCCCATCTGAGCTGCCTTTCAGTGTCATCCATCAGTGCCAGTCAGTGCTGCCAGTCAGTGCTGCCTATCAGTGTGCATCAGTGCCATATATCAGTGCCATGTATCAGTGCTGCCTTTCAGTGCCCATCAGTGATGCCTGGCAATGCCCATCAGTGCCACCTACCAGTGCCTCCTCAGTGCCACCTATCAGTGCCCATTACTGCAGCCTCATTAGCGCACATCAGTGAAGGAGAAAAATCACTTATTTACAAAATTTTATAACAAAAACTAAGAAAACTTCTTTTTTTTTTTCAAAATTTTCAGTGGTTTTTGGTTTACGTAAGAAAAAAATAAAAAACCCAGAGGTGATCAAATACCACCAAAAGAAAGCTCTATCTGTCACAAAAAAGTTATAAAAATTTCATATGGGTACAGTGTTGCATGACCGCGCAATTGTCATTCAAAGCGCGACAGCACTGAAAGCTGGAAATTGGCCTGGGCAGGAAGGGGATATAAGTGCCCTGTAGACTAGTGGTTAAGGGCTCATGTATATTGGCTTAAAAGAAACACCAGTGCTCTTGGCAGAAAAGTGCTAACTTTGAACTTTTTTGGTACTAGTGTTTAGGCACGTTTTTAGCGGTTTTCTTTTTTTTCTGCCAGAAAACTGCTCTTAAAAATTGCAAAACAGGACTTTTTTTTTCTGCTTCTAAACGCTGAACTTAAAATATGCCTTTAAATGTGCATGCCTAATGTGCATGAATACATAGGATAACATTAGTTGCTTCTACAGGCATTTGGTGTTCTTTGACCTATTATACTAGGAAGATAAGAGGCATTGCTATACTTTCATCATTAGTATGTTCTAGCTTAGACACATTTTTCAGCTAGCCAGCTATTGTGAGCATCATGATCTAGTACAGTTCCTCTTTAGTGCATTATTTTTACAATGTAAGGATCATATCATACAAATGGTCCTGTCACTAGTGACTACTCCCCACTCAGTCACTTCTATGCATTGTTCCCTCACTGGTTGGAAGATGGAGCTGTCACTGGCGAGTGATAATTTGCACCAGTCACCATCAGCGACTAAGAGGTGGCTCACCCATCCAGACTCTGAAAGAGCAGTGCATGGATGTAAGGTAAGGGTAATTTCTGCTCTGCATACTAGGGATGCACCAAAATATCGCCCACTGAAACATATTGGCGAAAATAGCCCTATTGGCATTTTGCCGATAGAAAAAATTTAGCCGATACAGGAGACTGTGTGTACTGCAGATGGGGGGGGTGGCTGAGAAAGGCAGGAGAGGAGCAGTGTGTACAGTGACTGGCTGTCACTATAGGTCAGTGCTGGGTTTTATATGTAATTACCGCTTTTTTTTTTTTTTTCCTTCACTATAGCTCACAGAATTAGCTGTCACTTTCCCCCCCAGCTAAAAGAAACAAAGTTTCCTTTAGCTCCGGGGAAAATTACAGCTAATTCTGTGAGCTGTAGTGAAGAAGAAAAAAAAGCTGGCAATTGTATTTAAAAATCAGCACCGATGTGTAGTGACAGCCAGTGAGGGAGCCTCCTCCTTGCATACACTGCCCCCACCCGCTGCCCCCTACAAAGAGGACCTGTCACTCATATGCTATCACACAGGGGACTATTGGTCCCTTATGTGATTGCAATAAAATCATAAGTTAAAAATAAAAAAAGAATATATAAAAAAAAAATTGGAGCCCCACATACGCAGACTTTTCGGTTCGGTTTTCGGCCACATGCATTCTGAATTTTCAATATCTGTTTCGGCACCAGAATTTTCATTTCGGTGCACCACTACTGCATACCATACTGATGCTGGTAGGTTGTTACTAGTGGCCAGTTTTATAGTGTGACATGGTTCTAATGGTGAGAGGTGAAGCATCAAGTACCCTGTACAGCCCTGTCACCTGAAGGGGCTCACGTTCTAAACATTCTTACCACACTCCTATGATGACTGGGGAATGATTTCGGAAGAATAAACTACCGGCATGTTTTTGTGTTGTTTACTTTGGGGTTTTATTGATTTTTTTCATATGCTCTCTCCGTTTGCAGTTTGTAATCATTGTTGTGGACAGCACGGATAGAGAACGCATTTCAGTGACCAGAGAGGAACTGTATAAAATGTTATCTCATGAGGTGAGTGACCTACCATATACATGTATGTAGTGTGCTCTTTGTCCTATGATTTCTTGAGTCCACTCATAAGAAGAATTTGAAAACCTGTTATGTATGCAAGTCTGAAAGCAGAGTAAATAATATACAAACACTTTCCAGGGTAGTATTTCTCAGGATGAATCTGATTACATTCAGTTTCAATGTGCTGGTAATGTTACATATCAAGGGAGTCACAAAAGTCTTGCTGCACTTGTTCATACTGCTACATTATTTGTGATTTTATGGTCTCTAAAAGGGCAAGTCAGATGAATTGTCAAATCCTGCGATTATTTCACACTACATACGTGCCTTATCTAGGATCATGTTACTTACTGGAAAATGCAACAATAGTAGCCACTCAGATTCTGTTTGAAACTAGCGAAAAAGGGAAGGTACACATGGGCAAGGCTGTATACAAACCAATACGAAAGGTCCCTGGCAAACATTCAAACTAGCCAGCAAAAACCTAACCAAACCGGTTTCACTACTCAGATTAGAAAGGGATCTGAGCCGCTACCATTGCTGCGGATTTGGAGCAGGCAGACTCGAAGTCTTCATCTTTTGCTTCAATTAAAAGACATCGGTTTTCTGCTTTTTCAAAAGGCCATGTCTGGTGTGGTGGTGTAACTTTAACCCTTTTGCTACCAGAGTTGTTTTAATGTTTGTCGCATACATGTTTCAAAAAATGATTTTAAGCCTACAGATTGGTTACAACCCTCAGGCAATATATTTTTTCTGAAAGCGAAGCCCTTTGAGAATAAAACAGTGATAGTGCTTATGTTGCTTTTTATTGGCACAACATTTTTTCAAGTGTAAAGTGTGTTTACATTCATATGCACATGAGTTGGGAGCTCAGGTGTTTGGGTGTAACTTGAATTTTTTACACTTTTTTTTTTTTTTTTTTTTCTTCACCAAACGTTTTTCTATTACATAGGTGATTTAAAGTCCCCTATCCCCTATGTAACTGCATTCTGCTGTGACAGGTTCTGTCTAATAAGACATCTTGCCTGCCTTCCATTGAAGCTAATGGAGCTTTTCTTTAGCTTCTTCCCCTGCCCACAGCATGCTGGAAAGGTGACATCCATACCTGGAAGTTATGTAATGCATGTTGCTTTTGTGTTCACTCTAGCAAGAGGAGATCAGAGAACATATACCCAGCAGCATCCACCATGGGGGTCTTGAGCCTGCAGGTGGGACAGCGGTGCTCAGGTAACATAGCTGAGGGGAGCACACTACCTACCGAGTGTCTGTGGAAGTGGTGAGGCAGCTTTATGGCCACTGGAACTCTCACATTGATGTCAATACTCAGCTTGTCATGGCATACGATGGTAGCCGTAAAATGATTAGGGAGGAAGCCAGGGAAGTCTACTCTCTGTTTATGCCTGGATATATACTGTATGTCCAATAGCTGGGGAGTGCACTTATCAGAATTCTGCCCCATTGCTGGTGTCGTGGGAGGAAAAATACCCCACTGTTGGTGTCCATGAGAGAAATGGTCCCCACTGTTGTCATTGGAAGGAAGGGTGCCTCTTTGTTGGTGTTAATGGGAGCAATAGTGCCCAAGTGCCAGAAAAAGGCAGGCAAAGGGCCGCAGTTTGTAGACCCCTGCTCTACACCATAGCAAGCTGCTTTCTGTGGGGCACACGAAGAAGAGCCAATATTGCCAGCGGGGGACACAAAGAGGAGGTGAGCAAGTGCACAGAGCAGAGCTTTCCTTGGTTTAGTTGGGTCACTGCACTTGTTCTTTCATATCATTGATGGTAGGCAGATGGGAGGAAGACTTGATACAAACTACCTTCTTCAATACTGCCAAAGTATTTCTAATTAAGGTATGTGATTTTATTTCACGCGATGGAGCCGAGCACTGCCGTGGAAGGGTCTGCAATGGAAAAGAGGACATGTCTTGCTCCAGTGCTACCTATCCCTTCTCCGTGGTGTGTTTAATCCATTCCAGCACGCGGGACATGTGAACCACATAATAGTATTTGAAGGGGCCTGGGAAATCAATCTATTATTCCTTCTGTGGTCACAGATCCTCTAAAACATCAAAGCAGCCATTTCATTTCCTTTGTTTCTCAGATAGATTTGACCTATTCAGCTTATAAATAGTATCTGTGAAAAAAAAAAAAAACTGCACCAGTCCGTGGGTGCCTCCATCTTGCTTCTCAGCCAGCATAGCGAAAGAGAAGCCATGCGGTCATTTACAGACTGCAAATCAAAAACACTGATGTCCTTCCTGTAACCATAACCTGTCACTGATCTTTACTCCACAGCACACATCTGTCAGCAGCCAGGGGAGTGGTTCAAGGCAGAGATGAGAGCTTAGCTACTGAATTTATTTCTGTGCAGTTTTACATTATGACCACCTACCATTCCTATTAAAGAATCCCTGGTGTTCTTATGGTAACATTTTCTTTATTAGCACTGTCAAACCAAAACCTCCATATATTTGTTTTTTTTTGCTATTGCAGGACCTGAAGAAGGCGGGGCTGCTGGTCTTTGCAAACAAGCAAGATGTGAAGGAATGTATGAGCGTAGCAGAGATTTCACAATACTTGAAGTTAACGTCAGTGAAAGACCATCAGTGGCACATACAGGCTTGCTGTGCTCTCACTGGGGAAGGGTGAGTCCTTTTGTAAGATAAAACACTTACCGTATTTTTCGCTCCATAAGACGCACCTGACCATAAGACGCGCCTAGGTTTTAGAGGAGAAAAACAAGAAAAAAAATATTCTGAACCAATGGACTGTAGACACAGTACAGGGGATGACCAGAGACTGCGGACACAGTACAGGAGATGACCAGAGACTGCGGACACAGTACAGGGGATGACCAGAGACTGCGGACACAGTACAGGGGATGACCAGAGACTGCGGACACAGTACAGGAGATGACCAGAGACTGCGGACACAGTACAGGAGATGACCAGAGACTGCGGACACAGTACAGGAGATGACCAGAGACTGCGGACACAGTACAGGGGATGACCAGAGACTGCGGACACAGTACAGGGGATGACCAGAGACTGCGGACACAGTACAGGAGATGACCAGAGACTGCGGACAGTACAGGAGATGACCAGAGACTGCGGACACAGTACAGGAGATGACCAGAGACTGCGGACACAGTACAGGGGATGACCAGAGACTGCGGACACAGTACAGGGGATGACCAGAGACTGCGGACACAGTACAGGGGATGACCAGAGACTGCGGACACAGTACAGGGGATGACCAGAGACTGCGGACACAGTACAGGGGATGACCAGAGACTGCGGACACAGTACAGGGGATGACCAGAGACTGCGGACACAGTACAGGGGATGACCAGAGACTGCGGACACAGTACAGGGGATGACCAGAGACTGCGGACACAGTACAGGGGATGACCAGAGACTGCGGACACAGTACAGGGGATGACCAGAGACTGCGGACACAGTACAGGGGATGACCAGAGACTGCGGACACAGTACAGGGGATGACCAGAGACTGCGGACACAGTACAGGGGATGACCAGAGACTGCGGACACAGTACAGGGGATGACCAGAGACTGCGGACACAGTACAGGGGATGACCAGAGACTGCGGACACAGTACAGGGGATGACCAGAGACTGCGGACACAGTACAGGGGATGACCAGAGACTGGAGCGGACACAGTACAGGGGATGACCAGAGACTGCGGACACAGTACAGGGGATGACCAGAGACTGCGGACACAGTACAGGGGATGACCAGAGACTGCGGACACAGTACAGGGGATGACCAGAGACTGCGGACACAGTACAGGGGATGACCAGAGACTGCGGACACAGTACAGGGGATGACCAGAGACTGCGGACACAGTACAGGGGATGACCAGAGACTGCGGACACAGTACAGGGGATGACCAGAGACTGCGGACACAGTACAGGGGATGACCAGAGACTGCGGACACAGTACAGGGGATGACCAGAGACTGCGGACACAGTACAGGGGATGACCAGAGACTGCGGACACAGTACAGGGGATGACCAGAGACTGCGGACACAGTACAGGGGATGACCAGAGACTGCGGACACAGTACAGGGGATGACCAGAGACTGCGGACACAGTACAGGGGATGACCAGAGACTGCGGACACAGTACAGGGGATGACCAGAGACTGCGGACACAGTACAGGGGATGACCAGAGACTGCGGACACAGTACAGGGGATGACCAGAGACTGCGGACACAGTACAGGGGATGACCAGAGACTGCGGACACAGTACAGGGGATGACCAGAGACTGCGGACACAGTACAGGGGATGACCAGAGACTGCGGACACAGTACAGGGGATGACCAGAGACTGCGGACACAGTACAGGGGATGACCAGAGACTGCGGACACAGTACAGGGGATGACCAGAGACTGCGGACACAGTACAGGGGATGACCAGAGACTGCGGACACAGTACAGGGGATGACCAGAGACTGCGGACACAGTACAGGGGATGACCAGAGACTGCGGACACAGTACAGGGGATGACCAGAGACTGCGGACACAGTACAGGGGATGACCAGAGACTGCGGACACAGTACAGGGGATGACCAGAGACTGCGGACACAGTACAGGGGATGACCAGAGACTGCGGACACAGTACAGGGGATGACCAGAGACTGCGGACACAGTACAGGGGATGACCAGAGACTGCGGACACAGTACAGGGGATGACCAGAGACTGCGGACACAGTACAGGGGATGACCAGAGACTGCGGACACAGTACAGGGGATGACCAGAGACTGCGGACACAGTACAGGGGATGACCAGAGACTGCGGACCTTTGGGGAGGGACGGGTACCTGAATTTGACAGGTACCTGCTCCCACTTCCGTGGAGTTGTCCTTCCTTCTTCTTCCCGCGGCGGCTTCTGTGACAGCCGGGTGCCCACTGCGCATGCGCGAGAAGCGCAGCTCTTTGTGAATGGCCCGGAGCCTTCTGGGACCTGTCATGTGTCCCAGAAGACACCGGACCATTCACAAAGCGCAGCGCTTCTCGCGCATGAGCAGTGGGCACCCGGCTGTCACAGAAGCCGCTGCGGGAAGACTGCAGTGCTGGAGCGAGGAACAGGTAAGGTCCTGCAGGAGAGAAGAGCTGAGCGGCCGGCCCGATATTCTTACATGGTGGCGGCAGAAATACCGGACCGGCCGCTTTACATTCGCTACATAAGACGCAGTCACATTTCCCCCCCCTTTTTGGGGAGAAAAAAGTGCGTCTTATGGAGCGAAAAATACGGTAGGTAACACCTTGCACTGCTCACCACAGTTAGTTCAATTTGTTTGCACCTAGAATTTGATTTCTGCAAGGGAAATCTGACATGAAATAAAATACAGTGAGTTAAGGCTGTGATAGAAGCAGCTCACTTGCCACATGGCAGTGATTCTGTAACTATTTACTGGGTCTGACTGAGTTTTGAATTCAGCCTGTTTTCATTCCTCACATTCAGTCATTTGTCAGGAAATTTAAAATAAAGTTGGTTCTCAAAACTTCATTTATCTCCTTTGAGTCAACCAAAAACCTCCTTCATTTGTATTTCACATTTGTCACATGGAAGGAACTTAATGTGGACTTAAGCTGCTGTTGGCTGCACTGCACATGGCTGCTATTTGCACTCTGACTAGACTGAATATAAGCCATTTTGGCCTTCACACATAAAGGACTCTTTGTACTGTATATACAGTACTCGTTCACATGGCCAGTTACTTGCGTGCTGTGTGCAGAGCCATGTTAGCCAGCACGGGGATGCACAGGTGTGGCATGCATTCCCATGCTGGCAGTCCTTTAGATGTCTATTAGGACAAGCAGTTGCATGAATACAGCCACTGTGTCCCAGTGTAACAACTGTTTGGGTGTGGGTGCATGTCCCAAAACTCACCATGGGTGTGTTTTGGGCCATGCACCCGCATGTATATCACTTTGGGACACAGCAGCTGTATTCATACAGCTGCTTGTCCCAATAGACCTCTGTAGGAGTGCCGGCATGGCGATGCATGCAACACCTGTGCCACCCCTCTGCCGGCAAAACACGGCCCTGCACTGGGCATGCAAGTAATTGGCCAAGCGAACAAGGCCTTAACCTGTAACAACTAGATAAACAAGAAACGGGCCAAAAGAAGATGGCAAAGTGATCATTTGAAGGGGAATAAAATTGCAAGTGAAGTGGAATGTCCGGCAGACTGATAAATACACAGTTCAAATACTTATATATTTGCTGTTTTACCTACCAGACAGCTCCTATTGGGTAGGAAGATCACTCTGCTACTTTGTGGATCATCTATACTACTTCCTGGATAATCTTTATTACCTCTTGGGTTAGCTTACTAACATTCGTACAAATATGAAGACGCTGATTCATTCTACAGTGAACAGGCTGGAAAGGGGAGATGTGACATAGCAGGCAGTGTTGCTGAACCTGACATCACTTGTGCAGTGTGGAAGATGTATGTAAATTGCAATACTGACTGTCCAAAGTTTAAAATACTTTAGCTGCTGAAACATTAACCTTATACGCTTTGGCACTGTGTATTAATCTGTTGGCCTGGAATTCCATTTTAAAGAGATTCTGTCCCTTTGGTCATTGGGTTAGACAGAAAGGCGTTCTCACTTTGGTCATTGGGTTAGACAGGAAGGCGTTCTCACTTGGGTCATTGGTTTAGACAGAAAGGAGTTTTCACTTTGGTCATTGGGTTAGACAGAAAGGAGTAGTCACTTTAGTCATTGGTTTAGACAGAAAGGAGTTGTCACTTTGGTCATTGGGTTAGACAGAAAGGAGTAGTCACTTTGGTAATTGGTTTAGACAAAAATGAGTTGTCACTTTGGTCATTGGGTTAGACAGAAAGGAGTAGTCACTTTGGTCATTGGGTTAGACAAGAAGGCGTTCTCACTTTGGTCATTGGTTTAGATAGGAAGGCGTTCTCACTTTGGTCATTGGTTTAGATAGGAAGGCGTTCTCACTTTGGTCATTGGTTTAGATAGGAAGGCGTTCTCACTTTGGTCATTGGTTTAGATAGGAAGGCGTTCTCACTTTGGTCATTGGGTTAGACAGAAAGGAGTAGTCACTTTGGTCATTGGGTTACACAGTTATCATTCATGTGCCAGTGGTTAACAGAAACATAGATTTAGGCAAGCATTGGAGTACACTGCTGTGTGTATTCTGGTTACCAATGTCTGCTTGTAATAATCCCTTTTGTGTTTGAAAGAGTCTTTTTTTTTTTTTTTTTTTTGTAGAGATAAAAAAAGACATTCTACGGCAGTAGAACAGAGTAGTGAATTTCATATAGAGAAGCAGCCTTCTAGCCTCTAGGAATGGGATACTGTATAAGGAGGCAGAACGAGTGTAAATTTCGACTTACTGAAATGACCACCCCTAACTGCACTTTAGTTGGCTGCTATAGAACAGAGCACTTCGCACATGGTCAGTAACTGACTGAATACTAATGATGTATAGAGAATATTTACAATGTTTTGTTTTCTTCATGGTCTAGCCTTTGTCAAGGACTCGAGTGGATGATGTCAAGACTAAAATCTAGATGACCCCAAACAGACCTGCAGAGACACTAGAATGCTAACAACACTGTATTTATGAATCCCTGGACTGCTGCAAACCTCCGACAAGTATTTATAATCATAGTGTTCCACCGGTGTCAGAGAGCAATCTCTCCGAAGGCAAAAACAATAATAAATCTGTGACTACTTCTGAAAGCTGTGATTGGCCTGGCCATTATTTTTAGCCCTCCTCCATGGAACGTCAAAGGAGACAGGAGCTTTTTAAAACTTTTTAAAATGACGGTTTTACAAGTGAACGCGGCCCGAGATGAGATGGAAACATTGATCAGATGAACTAAGAACATCGATAATGGCTGAGCAGTATTTTTTTAAAAAACCTACTGAGAGGACCCAGACTGAACCTGGGCAATGTGCAGCTCTCTGTTGAGGAACTGCAAGTCTCAGCGTGCCTTGTCCAACATACTAGGACTTGTAGTTCCCAGCTATTAGAGAGATGCATGTTTTTCAGTCTCTAACTAGAATCCTGTACATATCTTTGTATTTCCTGTGTGTACGCATGCTCCTTTATTGTACCAATGTATGGAAGAATTGCCTTGACAACAGTTAAAATTGCACATTTCTAACTTTAGAGGACCTGTCACTTTTGAAATGTCTTGATCAGTCAGCTGAATGCGAGTGATGAAAATTTCTAATATGCTTTATTTGCCAACCAAATGGCTGATTTAAGTGCTACCTCATCATAGAAAGGTTTAGCCTGACTCTTGGCTGATGTTCTGGCCTGTGGTGTCTATACCAAGGCTGTACACCTTAAATGTAATGTGCCAGCCGATTTAAGCTTTTAATACTGGGGCCTAGTTTACATGGATGGCTGTTGGGCAGTAAAAAACAGGCAATTGAGCCGCGGTTTTGCCGACTGTCAAACCCCAAATTAACATGTTAGTACACATTGCCACTGTTGTAGCACGGCAAAAATATTACAGCCTGTCATTTTTCAGGCGGATGCCCTGGCAAACACAACCCATTCAAGTGCATAAGACTGTGCCACAACCGCTATGCAACTGCATGGGGTGGGGGAGTTGAAACAGCTACATGTGTAAATAAGGCGTAAGGTGTTACTGCCTGTATTAGCCAAAGAAGCCTTTGATGTGTGCCTCTTTTAAACTGGTTTAAAGTGGTTGTAAAAGTAATTTTTTTTTTTTTTACCTTAATGCATTCTATGCGTTAAGGTACGAAAAACCTTTTACGTGCAGCTCCCCTTCAGACCTTCCTAAATTATTCACCTGAACCCGATCTCAGTCCAGCGCTGTGCACTCTGTAGTAGCTCTTCTCCCCTCTCCTGGATCTCCTAGCCTTGGTTAAGAATAGCAGGAGCTATTGACTCCTGCTACTGTCAGTCAAAACCTGAGAGCAGGAGGCGGGGCCATCCTGGGCTATGTGTGTTTTGAATATACGCAAACAGCCTGGCTCAGGAATGAGCCCGCAGGAGTGCTCCCATAGGAAGTGGCTTCCTATGGAGGCACTCAGCGGATGGGAGGAGCAAGGGGGATCCGAAAAGAGGAGGATTGAGGCTGCTCTATGCAAAACTACAGAGCAGATAAGTGTAAAATATTTGTTATTTTATTGAATAAAACAAAATGGAAGCTTTAATATCACTTTAAGCTTCCTAGATGCTGGACTTCCTTCTAAGCCTCAATACCTGTCAACCCCCCAAGTACACTGAGAGTGCATCACTAGTCAGTAAGGGAACGCTTGTTGGACAAGTGGTGGCAGTTGGCAAGATTTAACCTTGAATCTAAGCCTCTAGTAAGTGAAACCTACACTGAGGGAAATTTTGAGACTGCTATTGCTGGCTTCCTCCTGAGAATGAAACTGGTTTAACAATTATTATACAGGATTTATATAGAGCCAACAGTTTGCTCTGCACTTTACAATATAAAGGGAGACAATACAACAACAATACAGTTCAATACAAGAGGGATAGGAGGGCCCTGCTCCTTGATCACCTCTACCTTCTGTACTTACTACTCACTGACCCAGAACAAGCATGTGCTCAGGAAAGTCAGAGATCTGTTCTGCATACTTATTCTGGGCCAGTGACTTCGAAAGCAATAAAGTCACTCTTTAAAGGAGAAGTACAGCCAAAGCTCATTTGGCTGTACTTCTGTGGATCAAAGGAGTGCAGTTCATTCTGCACTCCTGTGACCCATTTTCAGCTGACAGCAGGCTAAAGCTCGCTGTCAGCTGATATTACAGAGCCAATCCAGGCTGGAGAAAGATTGCAACCATATTGTACGGATCCACCCAGTAGCCTGGACCGGCACCTGGCTCAAACTCTCAGTGAGCTGCTGAGCCCCCTGCACCGCCCAATGCTTCAGTGAGCAATGGCGGGACATAGCAGAGGGCAAGAGACTGACAGCCACGACTCTCTGCTCAGAGCAATGTTTGATTGCTCAGTTCTCCACCTTAAAGCTGGCAGGGGACAAATGCAGCATTAGATCGATGATGCATCCACCTGGATAAGTATGATTTAACTTCTCTTTTAGAAACGCTGACCTAAAAGAAGCAAAGAGAGAAAGTAAATTCAGAACTCTGCGTCAACTTGTTTGAGGACTTTGACAAAATATTGAGGCGGAGGCGGGGGGGGGGGGGCAACATCACTAGGGGGCAGCTATCATTGTCAGAAGTTCTGTAATGATAGCTCCTTTATTTGTCCAATGATACGTTTACTTTAAAGATGCACTGTCACCTGCCCAATTGGGGGGTGAATAACTGTTCCTCCTTATAGCTACCACCTCCTCGGCAAGATCTAATCATCCATCCACTCTTCCTTGCCACCATTTTGCTGCAGGAACCCACTCAGCTAGTGTCTTGGTGATTGACCACTTGGGTGACATGTAGCAGGTCACATGCTCCCCCATACCTGGAAACCCCAAGCGTGAATGAGTGAGTATACCTTGCTGGGGGCTATGAGGAGGCACTGCCACTCACCTCTGAGTGGGTAGGTGACTGCATCATATTAAGTCATTGCTCTGCCTTATTCTTATCTGACTGATACCGAGTTAATCTCCATTCTGGAAAAGGAGCGAGACCTGCAGGAGGTATTATTGAAATAAACAGGGTAGACCAAACTTTCAGCTAATATAGGCCACAAAGAGAGGCAGAAGGAAACAAGACCCTTTCGGCTAATAAATTATATGTCATAATGCTGATCAGAGTAATAAAGAAGGTATTTCAAAACTGATAGCTCCCCTTGAATGTTCTAATATGTAACATATTTTTGGCACTTTTGTTCCATTTTGGGGCTTTTTTTCTCCTTTGGACATTCCTTGGCAGATGCTGAATTGCATGTTGCTTTACCTCTGTGTTGTTTTTTTGACTTTTCTACTCTTATCACTACACTTTACAAAAAGAAGTCTGACTTTGTGACAATAAAAATGAGAGGTGGAAAGTCTCCAGTGTGTCTTTGTCTATGTATGTTTTGTTTTTGGTTTAGAGATTACATCGACTCAAAATAAATTGTACTATTTTTTTTTTCCATCTGGACATAATTTATTATTTCTTTTTAACCTCCTGTACTTTTCTATGGGCAGCAATGGGGAGGGTTTCCTCATTTTCCTATAATCTCTGTGACTTGATTCTCCATATTTATGCATGGAGGATTCTTTAGATCAGGAGTCGCCAAACTTTATGAGGGCCGTATCATATATTTTACAAATGTTTGTGGACTGAAAAAATCCCCCTCCTTACATCAGGGTCCCCCATCAAAGACCCCCACTTATATCCGGGGCCCTATCAGGGGAGGTGGTGCTCTCTTTATTCCTCAGTCTGTACACATTAAAAATATGCCACTGACAACCCCAGCTGCAGGGCAGATGTGGCGACCCCTGCTCCAGCTAGCAAGTGATGCAATATTTTTATGCCCTGCAATCATTCATCCATTTTCTGCAAGAATTTTGCCAATGTCAATAGTAGTTTTAGCTGAAGATGTGATTTGTGAGGGGAGACCAGTTAGAGACTTTGGCTGCTAGACCCAAGTAATGTCCTATGGTAGGAGGCTACTTGTTTCCCTATACCCAAAAGCATAAGATATTGTTCCCCAGGGGACTTCAGACACAATTGCTGTATATGTACAGCCTGGGTTGTTAATGCCTCAAATACCTCTCTCCTTCCCAATCACTCGACCAGTAAACCTGGAAGCCTGTTTAGCAGCTTCTGCAATGCTGACTTGCAGTTGGCCACCTTCTTTAACTCGGCACACAACGCTGACCATGTTTTAGTAATTTGCTAAATCCTAAGCTGAGTGGTCAAAGAAAATTATACTTCGGATGTTTTATTTAAATAAAGCTCTGCAGTAAACTCCTTTTTCTTAGGCACTACCTGACATTTTATATGTTACCCTGATTGGGTAGTGGCTTAAAGGTTAAGTTTACCTTCGCGAACATCTTATATGTTCCACCTGGTTTCCCTCTCCTGCAGTGGCTGGGCAATCTGAGCCCTCTGTGTGACAGCAGTACTGGGAAAATTTCCCCGTACCAGTTGTCGCTTTTTAAAAAGAGCATGGCTGTGTGCCCCGCTTCCTCCAACATATTTGCATCATTCATTCACAGAGTTCTGCGAATGAATCAACTACATGTACTTACACCCTTTGCGGCTGTAGGCTTGTAGTTCTCAATGAACTACCACAGCGCTGTTGAACTCTCTGGTAGTTCATTGATTCTTCCTGTCTGTGTGAAACAATGTATAAGTTGACCGCACACACTAACAGTCTGCAGGAGTCCTGCATGGCAGAAGCTATGTGATTTCTGGTGCAATGCTTTCCAGGCTCCTTAAAAAAAAAAAAATAATGCGCATTCACTTTTTTTTTTCTTAAGTCTGAAAAATGTATTTTTTTAACTAAAAGCACCATTACAAAACCTATGAGCAGATGGACTGTTTCCTGTAGAAGAAGCGTGCAATGTCTTTCTGCAATAAAATAAACCTACCTACCTGCCTGTTGTCTTCGGTGACATGTACACTGAGCAACCCAT